TGGCCGGCTCCCAGCTGAGCTTTTCCCTCAGGGGATCGCATTTTGGAATCAGAAAGTCAGAGAGGATCAGTGACCATCTTAAGGGGTCCCATCCCACCCCCCACCCCCCACCCCTCTCTCTCCTCCCTAACGCTCTACACTGCAGGTGGATGCCAACGTGGACTGGCTCCTCCCAGTGCTCCAAGACTCTTAATAATAATGACAATGCTAATGGAAACTGACCAGCCCCACTATGGCAGCAAATACAAACAGTAACAGCCCTGCCGGTCCCTGGGCTTAAGGGAAACATAGTATCATTTGGGTTGAAATCAAAGTGCAGATTGTCATAAACAGCTCAACCTTTAGGTAAGAGGAGCCAGGGCCCTCTGTGGACAGAAGCAAAGAAAGAGGCTACCAAGCATTAAGGGTGGCTTTTTTGAGGGGGAGGGGGATGGGTGTCTGAGTTGGACTGGAGTATTCTCCAGGGGAAGATAATGCTGGCAACAAAAAGTGAATGAAGGAAGGTGGAGGTGGGTGTGGAGGAAGGGTGCAGGTAGGGAAGGAGGAGGAAATGGGGGTTTACTTAAAGAGACAACGTTGAACCCTGGCAATCTGATTTTCTGAAACGTGTCTGATCACTAGAGCGAGCCCCTCCACTGAGTGTCCTTTGTTTTCTGTGCATAAAATCCAATCTCTGCCTCCTTTTGCAGTGGCTCTCCTCACCTGCCCCTCTGATTTCCTTGTGTTTTGCCATCATGGCTCTAACTGCCTTCCTGGTCTCCATATTTTATGTGCCTCACCGCCTCTTCCCCTGTTTTCCTTCCTTTCGGTCTCATTCTTCCCTCCTCTCTTCCCTGCTTTTCTTCTTCAGCCCTTTCTCCCTTGGGCACCTTCTGCCTACCCCCCCTTTTCCGTTTATTTTCACTCATTTTTCATCCTGCTCCTTCTTCTCTTTGTTTACGCCCTTTTCTTCTCATCTTCCTCTCTTCCTTCCTTTTCTCCTTTTCGGCCCCTCTTGTTCTTCCTTCTTTTCCTCTCTTTCGTATTCCATCCTATCTTGTCTTTCTCCTCTCTTTGTCTCTTCCTTCTCCTCTTCTGGTTCTGAGTGATCTTTGTCTCCTGGCTCAATTTTGCTCATATATTTAATTTGTAGAATAAGATATCCTCTTTTGTAAACTGTTTGAAGAACGATTCTCTCCTTCATTATGAGCAGATGGTTTCGAATGATATTCTCCCCAGCTACTTTGCTGGGTCAAAGATAAAATAATTCAATGGCTCATAACATTGATGTGTCCTGAATCCATTCCTCTTATTTTGTTTGGTTTGAGCCCCTTGTAATTTTAGAGGATATTTCCTAGATTTGCTGGCAACCCTGCTCGAGTCTGATCGCCAGATAGTGCTTTGGAGTGAAAAAAGGGGAAACCTCGTTGGAGATTTCAAAACAGATTCTACCAGCTTTCCAATCTGTGCACTTGCGGAGTGGCAGGACTTGGGGAAGAGGAGAGGGGCTCCGGTGCTGGTGTTTATCATAAACAAATAAACCTAAGCCAAAATTTGTGTATATAAATGTGCGTTACCTTTGGTGTATGGGGTGGTATCTCCCCTCCCTGGCATCCCGGGTGGGTGCCGGGCACGGCACGTCTGACTTCTCTCACACTTTGCTAGGGGCATGATGTGCATGTGATGGAATTGAGAGGGGCTGTGTGTGTGTGTGTGTGTGTGTGTGTGTGTGTGTTTTATCTGATCCACTTGACAGATTATTTGAATCCAGCCCACCTTTCCGCACATGTCAAACAGATGGGATCATTGTTACAAGCCTTGAGAGAGCCGTGGCTGAGCGGTGGGTAAGGCAGGGAGGGGAGAGGGGGGGGCCGAGGGGAGAGAGGGGCACTTCTAGTAGCTTTGTGTTTTCACACGTTGGAACTGACAGGAGCCCTTCTTCTCCGTGGGGGGGGGGGGTGCAAGTTTAAAGTCTGGGGCTGATGAGGGGTGGGATGGAAAGGAGAGCGAGAGGTGGGGTGTTGGTGGGCAGGGTTATGATGTCACAGCAAAAGTTACAACAGGAGGAAAACACAGAAATGGTTCAACATTTTTTTTTTTTAAACTTTGGACTGCCAAGAGCTGAAGGAGAGTGGTGAGCAAAGGAATGAAGGGGAGAGAGAGAAACTAAACTGGAAGCTTGAGTTTTGTGTAGCTTCTTGAAACCTTATGAATGGATTACTGGCAGCTGAGATCCAGGAGAGACCTATAGGGACTGCAGGATCATTCACACATTAACAGGGGAGAAAAGCAGGCGGGATTCTTCCTTGCTGTGTTACCCCTCCTTCCTGAAATGAATGGTATGGAACCTTTTTCTGAGGGTCATGGGGGGTGGCAGGAGGGAGGGGGAAGTTTTCTTCTTTTCTTACCTGAGTATCTTTTCTTCATTTACACCAAGGTCCCTCTCCTTCCTTCCTTTCCTTCCTGGCGTTTCTCCCTCTCTCTCCTCTCTCTTTCTCTCTCTCTCTCCTCTCCCTCCCTCCCCCTTCCCGCTCCCTTGCCCTGTCCTTCTCTCTCTCCCTTTCCTGTGCTTTTCTGTCTTTCTCTACATCACCCTCTCCTCCCTTCCAAAGCCCCAAACTCTTTTGAGCTGCTTCATGGTGGTTGGGGGCAGGGGGGAGGGCAGTAAGAAAGAAGAAGAAAAAGGGACTAAGTCAGAAGGAGTGAAGGGAGATAGGAAAATGAGAAGAGGAAAAAAGGCAGTCTGGGATCCAGGGATTTCTGTTGAGTAATATCCACGTGCCTGAACTGATCTCCTCTTTGGGGACTGACTTTGAGGCTCCAGAGGATGCTGCAAAGGGGAGCTGGGCATGCCAGGGAGCGGGTGATTAGGGCACAGCACTCTGAAAGCAAACGAGTCAGTTCTTAGCAGGGGTAGAGGAGTTTAGAAGGCGGTGAGGAGTCTCAAGGCAAAAGAGGCAGTGCGATCGTACTCCAGAGTATGTGGGCTGCGTGTTTTATGTGTGGGCAACACAAGCAGGGGGTTTAGAACCGTAAGTAATTTTTCTTAGTGAATGAAGGACCCAGTCTGTTTCTCTCCCTGTTCTGTACCCACCTGTGGTCAAACATCCTCACCTGTGTCAAGAATTCACAACCACGGTCTCGGTGTGCACATATGTGTGTGAGTGTGCATACACACGTACATGTGTTTGGGGGGTGGGACTCCTTGAGATAGCCTGCTTCGAGGCAAGCATTATGACAGAGGCTGGAGACACGTTATTTACTTCCCCAGCCTATCCATTCATTGGAAATCAATTGGAAAAAATAGCTGCTTGGGTTTAGCTGTTCATTTTTGTAAATTACTTATTTTGAGCATCTCATTTGCTTATTTGCACACTCGGCATATGGTGACTTTTGGTAACTTCAGAGTGAGGAACTTCGGAGAGAATAGGAAGATCTATGGAGGACGATTCATGGCATTTCCATTTAATGCTTCTTAGGTCAGATGCGTCCATTTCTCCTTTCTCCCAGTGTCCGGTGTAAAGTGAATTTGGGGCATTGTTCCTTTGAATCCCGAATGATTGAAGTAGGAAAAAAAAATACAGGAGGCTTGTGGCAAAACAAAAGAGAGAGAAGCAAGTGGTCCCTGAGAGGCTGGTGGGGGGTTATTAGACAGTAAGCAGATCTGTTCACAACACGTGTGCGAGTGTGTGTGTGTGTGTGTGTGTGTGTGTGTGTGTGTGTGTGTGTGCGTGTGTCTGAGGGAGAGAGAGACAGAGAGAGAATACACACCAAAAAGACTGCTCCAAGACAGTATTGATTGTTATTGATTGTGTAGGCTGCGGCTGCTGGAGGAGAAAGCCCGAGATGTTTACCGGGGAAACCGGAAGTCACGCCTGTCCCCAGTGCCTCAGTGAGGTGGAGAGGTTGTCAGGAGGAAGGAGGGGCAGGGAGGAGGTGGAGTGATACATCGAACTTATTAGCTTTGACATCATCATCGTCTTTAAATGAAACAAACAAGACGATAATTACAGGCAGAGGGAGAGGGAGAGAAGAGAGCAGGAGGCACCAGAGAGAACAGGTCCCCTGAAGTACATGCTCTTCTGCCTCTCTTTCCCATCTTCCCAGGGACCCACGAGACTCCCAGAAGGTGAAGTCAAGGGCTGTCAGACTCATCAGGTTATTAGGACACCAGACTGGCTTCCCCAAGGAGAACTTCACGGAGACTTACAACATACCAACAAGTTGGAAGGGGATTAGAAAACCTTCACCACTCCACACGCCCAAGCACCGGGCTGAGGGAAGCACTGTGACCTGCACAGGCAGACTGGCAGCTGGATGGGCATCTGGCTGAGGAGGACATCTGGAGAGCAAAAGCTAAGTACCAGCTTGGAATTTTGTGCCCCCAGAATCCTTTTGCATTTTTAGAGAATAAGCATCAAATTCTGTGTCTCTGTATGCAAGTTCTTCTCGCGATTTGTTTGAAGGTTGCTCTATCTTAGGTTAAGGGCTACGAAAAGAACGTAACTCCTAGGGAAGGAAGAAGGAGAAAGCCATGAAAATTAGAAGATCAGCGTCCTTTGAATGACTTCAGGTAGCCAGGGGTATGTGTTGGTGAGGGAGTGTGTGTTTGAGAGGGACTTGGCTCACCTCCATCCGTGGGTCCCTCCTGTAGTATCAGCGAGGGGAGGGGCCAGTGAAGAAGGGACAGAAAAAGAAAGAAACCTGAGCCGTGTGGGAGGAGGTTCAGAGGAACCCGGAGAAATGAACTTCGTGCTGCACGGACTAAACTAGAGCCAGGAGAAGCAGGTCAGGGGAGAAGGGAGAGGGCAGCACAGCTCACGCAGCACAGCGCCCCGCGCAGGGAGCCGGAAGACGCACTCCCTGGGTGCTGCTGCTCCTGAAAGTTTGGTCCCTGAACGAAAACAGTTTCCCCGGTGACTGCGAATCCACTGCTAGCCGTCTCCTCCTCTTCTCCCCCATCACTCCGGTGTGGTACCCAGAAGTTGACTTCTGGTTCTGTGTAAAGAGCTGGGGGAGGTATGATGGGCCCAAAGATCCTGAGAATAAGCCTGGTGATTCTGGCCGGGTGGGCGCTCGGCACTGCCGGCTCTGAGCCGGGCTGGACACGCAAGAGGTCCCTGGCTCAGAGGGGACGCCTGAATCAGTTGCTGTCGGAAGGAGAACGCTGTTGGCTGGGGGCCAGGCCGCCAAGACCCAGAGCCGCTCCCCAGCATCATCTTTTTGGGGTCTACCCCAGCAGGCCTGGGGACTACCTGAGGCCCTACCCCGTGGGGGGGCAGGGAACCCGCCCCGCAGGACGCAGTGAGCCAGCTGCCACGGGGGCTGCGAGCCCAGCTGGAGGTGTGGGGCTGAGGGGCACAGCTGAGCAGCCAGCCGCCTCGTGGGACAGGGATGGTCCCGCTGGGCGGTCTGAGCTGCGGGGAGATGATGACACTTATCTTGGTGATGGAGGATCCAAGGAGTCTCTAGGTGAGGCTGGGACTCGCGAACGCTCGGCCACGGCTGCCACGGCTGCTACCACCTTCGTGGGCCCAAAGGAACCCAAACCAGAGACCCAAAGCAAGGGCCGGGCCAAGACCAGGCGTCGTCGCCAGGTGGTGAAGGGGCAGGTAGGGGCCGTGCAGGGAGAGCCCGGTGTCTCTCCCCATCGTCTCCGGCCGCGGCCGAAGCATCCCCTTGTGCACGGGGTCAGAACGAGTCCGTCGGAGGACGGCATCCAGAAGGGTGGAGGGGACCCCTCCTGGGAAGCAGAGTCCCAGGGAGGACTGCCTGTCTTGTATTTCTCCGGGAGGCGGGGGCGGCTCCTGCTGCGTCCAGAAGTGCTGGCTGAGATTCCCCGGGAGGCATTCACAGTGGAAGCCTGGGTGAGACCGGAGGGAGGACAGAACAACCCAGCCATCATTGCAGGTAACGGCCCACTCCTGGGCTCTCCGTGGTCTTTGGGGGACGGCTGGCTTCACGTGTGACGGGGTTAGGTGAAGCGGGCACAGAGAGGAAGGGGGCAGGGGCAGGAAAGCCGGGAAGAGGTGGCCAGGGAGAGAGGGGGAAGGGCTCTTATTCATCAGCACGGCCGGACTCTAGACATCATCCACGATAATGACTCTAACCACAAGAGCATTGTCCCAATGAGTATTGATCTCCTGTGGTTCTGTACATGGATGGTGCTTGCACTTAGCAGACCTTCGGCTCACTCCCTACCCCTCCTTAAAGGGGAAGGTCTCTGGGTCTTTGTCAATGAGGAAGAGGTATCGCCCTCTATTTCCCGTAGCCTGGGCACCTTTGATGCTGCACGTGAGGACGTGAGGACAAGGACCCGTTCAGTGAGCCAGGCCCGGGGTAGGGGTAGGGGGTGCCGGGCCGTGGGAGGGGCAGGGCTGGGCTGCGGGAGGACAAGGTTGCCAGGTGCACAGCCATAAATCCTGGCAGTTCCCCATTGCTTGGAGCAGCCCTGGAACTTTGCAGAAAACCACTATCTGGCCCAGGTCCTGGCATCCCTGTTGCCTGTCCTAACGGTCACGTATCCAGCCTGAGAACAGCGGGGTCTGCTGGAAAAGGTGGGCGCTCCCACGCCAGGCCGCTGGTGTTGTTTGAGGACGTAAAAAGGAACCGTGTAGAACTCTATGGCTTTGGTCAGAGGTAACATCTCAGAACTCTACCCGTGTGTATCTTGCACTATACCCAGATCTTGGCTTTCACGGAAAGTCACCCAGAAGGACAAAGAAAAGGATGGCATCAGGAACAACTATTCTGTGGCCCTCCTGAGGTTTCCAGCAAGCGGTGGGAGTTAGACCTGTAGGTCACCGTGTACGGTCTCATTATCCCTTTGGGTGCCCCCCATGATAGAGCCTCACACCAGGCTGGGCACATAGTGGATCCATTGTAATCTCATTAGCTTGTATCTTCTACGAGGCCCTTTGATGTTTGCCAGTCCTGTTTGCATCGATGGGGAAACCAAACCACGGGAGGTGTGCCAGACGCAGAGCGGGAGCGGAACCCCTGAGCTCCTGAGGTGCTTGACAGCTCCCCAGATTAAAAACTTCTCAGGTTGCCGGATGCCTACAAATAAGTTTCAGCCTGGAGAAAGAAACCTGGAGGGAGGGAACCTCTTTCAGTGGGGGTGTTGCTGGAACATCCCTTCTGGACACGCTGTCTCCCCCTCTTTGGCTGCAATTTCTCCTTTGGAAGCTGGGATTCCCAGACACTGAGCACTCTAGAGTCTTGTGGTTTTGCTTTATTTTAGTTTTGGGTGGGAGAGGGGGCGAGAGGAGGGAAGAGAGAAGGGGCTGGGCTGTGAGATAGGTGGTGGCAGAGAGAGAGAAGGAAATCCTTATTCTGGGGCCAAATGGAAGAAATAATGAGGTGATTATCTGATCAGAGTTGGCAGCTTCACACCTTTTCCCAGATGACATCTTCTTGCTGCCTCATCTCGCTTCCTAGTGCCCATCTGCCAGGGAAACTGTGCTTGCAGTCTAGACCGAGACCCACGACTCCGCTTCCCCCGCCTCCTGCAGTAGCCACAGAGGGACCTGGGATCAGTTCCCTGGCTGTGAAGAATTAGAGAAGGCTCCAACAGGAATATATGAGCGAGGCTCTCAGAGACTGTTGCTTTCAGTTATTAAAACCCAGAGCTGAGGGAACAGATTCAGGCCTGTGGGTGCCTGCCCTCTGTCCTATCCCTTCCGTGTCCTGTCTCGTGCTCTGCAGAGAGTGGCATCCTGAGCTGATTCCAGTTCCGGCGCTCCGTGGGGCACGTCCCCACCAGCCCCCAGTGCATCTCCCTCCCTCGCCCACCTGTCCACCACCAGCCACCCTCCCTCCTCAAATGCCATGGCACACACACTCCGATCCTTCTCCGAAGTGCCCCTCTGAACTCCCTCACGTCCCCAAGCATGTAAAATTAGGCAGGAAATCTTTTGCAGACAGTGTAGCCTCTGGGGCTTCTCCCTCTTGAAATCAAAGTGGACCCCTGTGGTGTACTGGTATTTCCCCTTTAGGTCCACACCAGGAAGGTTGAGGGCAGGGACTACCCAGGTCTAGCTCCTCTCCACCTTCTGCCCTCTATCTTTCTTCAGAGTTGTGCACATCAGAACATATTCAGGAAAGATTTAAGGTAAAAGTCTGGGAAAGATGGGGGCTGGGAACGACGCCTTCCTTCTTTAGGATTTTAGCGGCCGGGCTCCCGAGGGCATAGGCGTCTTTGTCTACTCACTGTGCTTAGCTCCTGTGGGCCCTGGCTGAGAGACACGAGGTGGCCAAAGGAAGGCCTCCTTGGGGATAAAGGTCTCTGATTGGTTCTAACTTGCTTACTCCTATCAACAGACTAGGCCATCTCCCCTCTCTTACCCAGCACTGGCCCTGTGGCAGGTCACTGCCTGTACCTGGGCCGGTGGGCCTTCACCTGTACAGAATAACAATTAGATCGTGTGCCTGGGAGCTAAACGTAATTCAGCCTTTGAAGTTCTGCTGCACCACTGAGGATAATCTGAGGTGCTAGAAGACTTGACTCCCATGCTCTTTCCCAATGGCTCTCAAAGCTCAGCTTCTACCCACTTAGCTCCCAGTTCTTAGTCTCCCAAACTTGGGGCATTTTCCGTTCAGCAGAGACATCAAGCCATTCAGCCACACTGGCCATGGTGAAGAACCCCCCCCCCCCCCCCCCCCCCCCCCCCGCCGGCCCCCGCCCAAGAGATGTGGGACCTCAGGGAGTACTTCGCACGCAGGGCACTAGGTGGCAGTGTTGCTTCACGCACAGGAGAGGAGGCGGCTCCAGGGAAGCCACGTAGTGGGGAATGTGTCTGGTTTCTTGGGTTGGTGCCCCTGCCCTGGCCTCTGGGTTGTCTTGTTTCATCCCCTCCCAGGGTGTTGTTGGTAGGCATCCCTTAGGGTCGGCTTCATGCAAGTATTTTTTTGCAGGACCTGTGTGATAGGGCTAAGGTGGCATTTTGGGGGTTATGACCACCCTGCACTTGTAGCAACTAGTAAAGAAAACAAAATCAACTGGAGTTACCTCCCCCTCCACCCCAAACTCCCACGTTCTTCCAAAATAGGAAGTTGAACTCCAGAATGGATTGCCGGAATCCTTTTATTTACGGCCAAGGGCAATGCAGGCCTCAGCCTTTCGGTGCTGAGTTTCTCTCTGGCCCCTAAAGGGGGCATGATGGTGCCGACTCCCTACCCCCCACCCCAGAGGTAGGCACCCCCAAAGTTGCCTGTTGCCTGTGCTCTGAAGCAGGGCAATGGAGACCTAGGAAACGGGCGTGTGCAGCTGCTCCAGCGTAGAGGCCTCCCTAAAAGTCACTTCTCAAGGGCCTGGCAATTTAGGGACGTGGGGCCAAGGAGGAGTAGCCTGAGGTCAGGAGCCCATTTGGTTGGACTTTTGGAACTCAGCAGTGGACAGAAGCCAAATTCTGTCCCGTCCTGATGAAATCCTTAAGCTCCAGCACCCACCCCTGAAACCATCCTGTTCCTTTCCCTCCTTCTCAACTTCCTTTCCCTTCCTTCAACCCCAGCGTACACAGAAGAGAGACTTTTAATAGGTTCCTCCTCACCCATAATTGATTTCAAATGTTCCCTGCAGTCGCCCAGCTGAGTAACCACCTGCAGCTCCAAGTTGCAGGAGACTGAGTCAGTAAGTCCATGGCAGGATTAGAGCCTGGGCCCACGTTTCTTCATTCAACAAATATTTACTGAGCGCCTTGCCATGCAAAGCCCGGCAGGGCACTGTAGGGAATACAAAGATGTCTAAGAAACTGTCCCTGACTTGAAGACCTATCTTCCTCCTCTGAGGATCCAAGTTTCAGAGCATATCCCAGTACAGAACTGGGGAGTCAGACCGGCCTGGCCTCAGATCCCACTTCTGACACTTACCAGCGCTCTGTTCTCGCAATCCGTTGAACTGATTGGAGCCTTGGTTTCCTCACATTAAGAAATGAGATAATGTCTTGCATTGTTTACATAAGTCATATATGTAAAGTGCCCAACACGGGGCTTGACCCATGGTACTTATGACATAGTATTAATAGCGGGAGAGAGTCATCACTAAGCGCAGTGGGCATGAACCTGCTCATCTTTGGTTCTACCCACTAACCTGTAATTTTTCCTTAGGTGGGATGTTAACTTTCACTTCTTAGGAATTTAGTGAGCTAATCTGTGAGACAGGAATGATGGTAAATAGGAATTTTCACAAGATGGTTTCAAGATGATTGAGAACACTAGAATCAGATGCTTAAAAGAACTCTGTTTTTTAAAATCATGTGTTCTTTTTAGCTTGGGCAGTACTATTTTGAATGAACTGGACAGTGGCACTGAAGCTTCTTTGGCATCCCAAACCTTTTTGAGAATCTGATGAAAGCTGTCCTTACTCCTCAGAAAAATGTACATGTTCACATAGTTGACACAACTTTCAGCCCTTTTTGGGTTTTCTTGAGGGCTAGTGTCTAACTGGCCTTGTTTAGGTACCTTGATGACTCTGTGTTTTGTTTTGAATGACATCTAAGAAATGCGGTTTCACGGGATGCTAAGACACCCCCTTCTCCCAAGAAGGGAGCTGCGTCCTCAGGGTAAGAAGTTTCATTGTGCAGAGCACGGAGCTTCACAGAAGACAGGTTCCCATACGCAGAAGTGTCAGTGTAGATGTGAAGAGAATTTAAAAGGGCCATATGTGCTCTGTCCCCCTTTATCCAGTCTTAATGACAGGGGAAGAGCTACATACATACCTTTCTCAGAGCTCCTCTGAGAATGAGGAGTCTGTGACCATCTCCCTCAGCTGCCTCTTCGTATGTGACAATAGCGGTCAAAGTCGGAGTGTTTGCCCTCATGGGACCCTAAGGAGTTACCCATTTCCTTCCATATTATAGCCCTGCTCCCTGGACCGGGACCCAGATGTACAGCAAAGTTATAGCACCCCT